AATTCATAAAATTACAATCAAATATATCTTTATGTTTCTGTAAATTGCGTTAATATATTTTTTTAAATAGACAGTTAAATAAAGTTGAGTTTGAGAATTTAAAGAAATTGAAAAGCTAACTTCCTTAATTATAGGAGTTAAAAACAAGGAAGAAAAAACAATCTCACATCTCCTTAATTAATGCGGGTTGGTTGCACATGATTAAAAGAAAAAAACTATAAAAAGTTGGTTTTATTTCTTTTAGGCTATTAATTGCTAATTAATTTGGGCTATATATTGCCAATTATATATAATAGTTGTATGTCTGTGTCAATTCCTCAACATCTATGAGCAGTAGGGGATTAAATCTAGTTAATAAGATGTTGGCCATTTGTTTGCAATACATTACCTTAGATGTTATTATAAAAATAAATACTTATTAATATAAAAATTTAAGTTGCTTAATTCAAAATTCTAAAATATTCTTGATAAAGAATAAATAGTTCTTCTTCTTTTAATTCAAATTTGTATTAATTTTTTTTCAATATTATTTCAATTGAAATTAAAATTATAAATTTACTATTAAAATTTTAGTGCCTCTCAAAATATTTGCCTCATCCTTAAGCCACCATATATATATATATATATACTAGTTTTTTGATACGTGTGTTGCACGTGATTACCAATTCAGAAAATATATGTTATGGTAAATAGTATTGCTTATTTAAGTGAAGATTTGAATAATAAGCTTAACACAAAATAATATTGTAGATTATTTTACTAATATTCAATGTGGATTGTCATATATATTTCTTTTTCACGCGAACCTATGAAGATGGTGAATAGAAAAATTTATTAGTTAAATGCAATAATGCATATATTTATTTCAATTTGATGAGGTTAAATCATGTAATTAGTCGTATCTCGCTAAAATTACCTTATAGACGATATTTGTTGTGTATTGTTTTTGTAATCTAACTAGATGTGTTTTGCACGTGTATTCTATATTAAACTGTTTAGATGTCATATGAATATGTGAAGAAAACAACTTCATTCTATCTTTTAGAACTATTTTCTGTATATTAATTTGTATTTTATATACAGATAGTTATCTGACTGTTCATAGTTAACTTAGAAAGGTTTTCTTTTTTAAAACCGGAAAAACTAAAAATTAAAATTAAAGAATATATTCTATCTGTGAAATCATATATATAATCACTTGTTCATCTTACACCCAACAAAGATATAGTTCATATACTTGTAAACAATTTTTCAATTTATTCAACCAAGCATGATTTGTCAAAGAAAAAATAATAAAACCGTGTTATCACATATATAGGGGAGGTATAATAATATGAAAAATTATTAGTCAAAATTGAATATAAGGAAAGATGAAAGATAGAAATAATTAATGTAATAACAATGGAATTCATAATATTATAACTAAGAATGTAAAAGAGTTTGAATACTGTTTGCAATAATTAGTAATAACTAAGAAAATTATAATGTTATAACTAAAGAATTAATGTGCAGTTGCTAAATTTCTAATAAATTTATAATTACATAAATAAATAGGACTATTAATTAAAGTTACTATTTTTTATAGTTATTAGATTTTAATTTAGTGTAGGGACCAAATGTAAATGTTTATTCCATATTACTAAATATAAAAACTATTTTGTAAATGATAAATTTCAAATGATTCATGTATATTCACATATTTTTACATTCGTTGTGAGTTTTTTTTTTAAAAAAAAATAACTCGAAATATTTTAAAATAATATATTTTTGAAGTCATCGTGACATATATAATATTTTAATTTAAATACAAATATCTACCTATATATAAATATATATTTTCATTAATGAGAATATTTATCTCATAAAAATTAGCTATTAAAATAAATAATAAACTAATTCCAACATCAACTAGTGTTATGACAAGTCATATTAAATTTTCTTCGTCCAAAATACTAAAATATTAAGAAATAGTAAATAAGTAAAACAAAAGGGCAATGTTTATATAGTAATAACTATTTTGAAGCAAACTTCTTGACAATCTAAATAACATAAGTAGCATTGATAAATAAAGTCATTCTTTTGTCTTGAGCATAAAAAAATAAATTGTA